ACTTGCAACGCATCAGCACAACGCAACGCTTCGCACAGCGCTGACAATGCCTCAGCTCCGTGCCAACTCACCAACTTCACTCTGCGAAGTCCAACACGCATCGCAGCGCTCGCTGCGGTAGCACGACCATGTGCACACAGCGCGCTACGCTATGCCTAGCTAACACACGTTACCAAGTCACTAGCCAATCAGGTACGTGCACTGCAACTCATTAATAAAATTAGACTAGCTCTAGTCCTATACACTTTCCGTCACATGCAAAAAGCTAGTTTTCATGGTAACAGGTTAATCCTAAAATACTCACTCTGTGGTTCCCACACTGGAAAGGATTATAATTATTACTCGCACTGCACGCCCACCGCACTTCCTTCGCGGGAATTTGTTGTACATTTCTAACGGGCTGGGCGGCATGCCAAATAAACTACGGTGTCCCCTAGAACACGCTTCCCTACATCTTCCCTGCTTTAAGAACCCTCGTCCTCGAGTGGTACAGTTTCATTACATTTGAAAAACTTAACCTCTGGTCCATGAGTGAAGAGCGTGTCATTGAATTCAGCCCATTATTCATTAACCATTTTTTTCCAACCATAATTGCAGAATTTCTAGCAATCAAACAACTTCAAGTAACATTACAGAACACTTTAAAGCTCAAAATTGAGTTCGGTACAAATTTCAAAATATCAAGTTAACAAAGTTAACTAATGCAGTCATCAGTTCAGATGACACCTGAAACAAAAGCAATTCAGAGTCTGACTGCAAGGATTGCAATTTACAATGTCTGGTCATTGGAACCACAGGGCTTACTTTCTAGTCCAGTACAAACACTTGTTTCAAAAGTTACAATTTGATACCATTTAGGCCTGGAAAGGTAAAATGAATATCATAACCCTGAATGGGCAGTGTAATGAAGCTGTAAGTGGTGTAAAAATACAAGTGGCTTCTGTGTAATGCAAAGCAAAGCTCAGTACTTCTCAATATGAACTAGAACTACATCCATTAATAACATATTTATCAACAAAAAGGTCATGCTACATTTGACCTCAACAAATATGAACCATGAACTAAAATGTTCACCAGGAGACTGCACAAAGGCACTATCCCGCCAAGGCTGGCAAATCTCACTGTTGAGCACTATTAAACAACTTTACACAAGGTCTGAGACTTTTCAGACATGTACCATAGATAAAAAAAAATCATCTAAGTTATAGCATAATTAGGCCAGCGACTAGTCCATATTTTACAAAGATTTGATCGCTGTGGGTACATATCATGTTCAGTCAGTTAAGTTACTCCATGCAGAAATGTGATTGCCATCAATACGCTCTCTGTGCATGTTTGCATTTTATGCGACCAATTTGAGATCGACTGATAACTGAAAGATGCCACATTTGAGGTTTTCTCAAGCCATCAATATCTGAAGATGAACTGTAACCTACATCACTTTCAGTGTCATTGCCAAGCTCATTTTGTACGACTATATTTTCAACAATTTGAGATTCAAAGCTGTCCTCAACCTCGGTTGACACCAGAGGAGGGTCACTTGGGTTCCCTGCTTTTTCCTCTGCCTTAACGGTCAATGCAGAAACCAAGTTTTCGTGAGATTCAAAACCCACAATACAGTTTTCTCGACCTGGGGTACTGTTTACCTCTTCATTTCTGTTATACTGCCACTGAATACAAGTTTGAATATCATCTTGCTTCGCACAACATGAGACAGAAAACTGATGTGAATTGTCAACATCAACTGGCTTTGGGATGTCTCTAATAAGCCCATTACTTAGTTCTTGTTTAAGGTTTGTGTCCCCACCCTGTTCTACTACATCAGAAGAACAATTCAAGTAAGGGTCAACAGCAATCGAATAATTTTCTGTACTACCCAACTCTCCAAACAACTCAAGAGCTACATCCAGGAATTTATAGAATGTGAGGTCTGGATATTTTATTCCGAATTTGCGCAACTCTAATCGCTCACATGAATCCAGAGCCCTTCAATAAACTGCTCTCTCAGACCTTTGTCTCTCAGGTGATTAAGAGCTTTTTCTTCACCAGGATTAGAGGCAACCTTTTCTATGCAACTATAAATGAACATCAAGGTCCGACCAAAATCCATCAATGATTCATCTGGTTGCTGCTTCCGAGCATAAAACTTTGCTCTGAGAGAATGAACAGATTCTTGAGAACCAAATCTTGCACTCAAAATTCCGATGATCTTAGACAAATCTCTACGATATTCTGGAGGACTACAAAATACTTCTTCTCTGGCAACGTCTCCTAAATGGTCAAGAACTGCTGTGACCTTTGCAACACCTTCAAAATGAAATTCTCTGCAATACGATTCAAACTCGTCCAACCAATCTGCCAGGGAAGGGTCCCCTACATTTTTGGGTCGGCCACAAAATATTGGTAGGCTCACTTGCAATTTTTCACAAATCATGGTTTGGAGCACATCAACTAGAGTCTTTCGCGACTGCACAATAATATTTATGAGGGCTTTTGCGGATGCCATACTTTCTCATGTATCAGGGCACCGTTAAAGTTAAAGCACGTCCTCTGTTGGCGGACAAAATAATTCAATAACTCTCTTACGGTAGATCTTTATAGTCAAGTCCACCACAATCTCCCCTACTCGTTCGATCAGCTCCTGAGGATCGATTGAATGATTCTGCATTTCAATCTCCATGATTAGGTTTACAAGTTTTTTTTGGTTAACACATCTAATCAATAAAAGCACAGCCTCTCCTTTTTTATTTTTATGATAAACAGATGATAAGCAGAACAAAGTCTTTACTACTAAAATATATTTTCATCTATGGCCATATACGAGAATCAAAGAACTTCACCAGCTGTCACA